TTATTTGCCTTCCAGACGAGAGCTTTCCTCCAAAATGACTGTAATTGTGGGATTGGTTGTATTCAAGAGTAAAAGTGCGCCGAATGTAAAAGAAATGGTTCTTTGAGACCAAAAATTAGTGAATTCGGTAGTTTCACCCCCCCCCCCACTCCTAGGTCAAGGTCAGCGCACGGCTCTCTTGCGTTTGTTGTTTAGTCAGATTTCCTGAATGCATAATTGGCAATGCTATCATCAAATAAGTACTAGCATTTGTTCTATAGACTCTTTTGTGGGGAGCAGTGCAAAATCTTTTCGGTCGGGTTTTTGTTCTTTCTTATCAATCCGCCTGGGCGTGTACTTTGCACCTGGACACGTACTACTCATCACTTCCTTTTCATACAAGGTTTTTTGACAGTGCTATTTTCATGAAACTATTTCGCTGCTCTTTGGTGTTATGTGGGTCGGTTAGGTACGCCAATTTTTGATATTGCTGCTCATCCCGGAGTTCCTCTTTTGAGTAAGGGAAACCGGTATGGAGCAAGCGTATTGTTTTCCCTAAGTTTCCTCTATACAAAAATCGGCGTGCCCACTCGACTCACATAGCATCATTTCCTAGAAACCACTTTGGGGTCTATTCCATTAAAACGGGAGGCATTTAATGCCTGTTCACCCTCCTGTAATCCCAATTTTCGAAAGGAAGCTCGGGATGGGTGCGAACACGAAAACGAAGTTGTTTGAGCACCTCGGAGCATTCACCTTCTGAAAAACTGGGTTACTGAGATTGAAGGAGGCACCAAAGTGCTCCCCTTTGTTGAAATAGACCCCACTTTCTTCCTCCAACCAGCGACTCGGATAGAAGAAACAGTGTTGTACAAACTAGCCTTTTGTCACAGGTATGCTGCGATTGGGTGGTTCTCTCCGGTCGGTTCGCTGTTTCGCCACAGCTACAGCTGCAGCGGTCAAGAAGCCGACTACAACAGGGCCAAATATTGTCCTTGTCGATGCTGTCAGGTGAGTCATAATTTCATTAGTTCGTATCCCTATAATCTGAGGTTCTTTCTAGGACTCCATTTGCTGTATCTGGCACAGTATTCAAGGACCTCTGGGCAGTTGACCTACAAAAGAGAGGCCTTGAAAGGTTGGTTTTTTTTTTTTTTTCTTCTATTTCAGCCAGTAGTTGCTCTCATCGGGATGTGGTTCACTTGGGCAGAAAGCTAAGTCTCCGCTTTTTGCAGCGCGAAACTGCGGCAACCTCAGGTCCACCGCTGATCGTGGGTGGACTGGGGTGTTGCTGCGAAAAGTAAGCCGTAGGAAGCGAAATCGCTTCTCCTCTTAAAACACCTACTCTCATTAACAAGGATCGTGCATACCGCGTAGATAATCAGCTTGCAGTTTGCGAAGCCATGAGTTTGGCCGTGAAATGTTTTTCGATAAGTCAGTATAAAAAGATGAAAAGGCAGTATTTACCGCTCCATGTCCTGTTAGCGTTCTTGCGTGGCTATGTCCATAGTCAATACAAAACTTTTAAACGCACCCTAAAGGCAGAGCCGAGACAAGTTCGACTCCAAGTGTTTTTTTTTGTTGGCTTTGATGTGTTGTGGCCCTTGACAGTAAGTCAGTAAACTTGTGAGGAAAAGCCTCAGTACATGTGATTAATATACGCTAAAACAATTATATGTGCGTTGCTCTATCTTGGGAGATTCACGGAAGCCTGTTTCTGGAATATGCGTATTGCTTGGTCCCATAGTTAATTTCTTTAACAAAATATGGCCTTTATGTGCGTATTTCGTGGTCCGGCATTCAGCTCCGTTTACTGCGCCCACGGTCTTGGGATTGAACCCTATGGTGGTGGCCAGAAGAATTAAGGCTCCTTTCTCGTGGGGTGACCAAATGGAACCAACTTGTTGGTAGGATAGAAACAAGGGATTTTACATTGGCGGGTGCTGTGGATCACTACTGGCCAAATCGCATTCATATGCCATTACGATTTCGAATGAAAGCGCAATGCATGGCTCGTTCTAAAAAAAAGCTTGAATCACAAACACCCTGGGACATCCTTCTTTATTTATAACCTTAGAAGAATGTCACCATTGATTCGAGCTGATACATCTTGGATTTCCGTTTTGAACCCTTCTACATGTTGTATGGTCTTGTTTTCAGCTTTGATAGCTCGCACTCATATTCCTTACAAGGACATCGACCACATAATTTGTGGCACTGTGATTCAAGAGTGCAAGACAAGCAATGTCGCCAGAGAAGCTGCGCTGCAGGCTGGAATACCCGACAAGGTCATTTATCATTTATAGACAAAGTTTGCAAACTACCTTTTTCTAAAAAAAATTTATTGCGAATTGATTGACATTACTCAGTTTCGAGCATACTCCTGAACATTTCGTAGTTGAACATGAGTACTAATTAGTTCCTCTTTTAGATTCCTGCCCATACTGTCACATTGGCTTGCATCTCCTCCAACGTAGCGATGACGACCGGCATGGGAATGCTTGCTACTGGCAATGCGAAAGCAGTCATTGCTGGTGGTGTAGAGCTCCTTTCAGATGTGCCAATCAGATACAATAGAAAGGTAATCGGCAGTTCTCATGTTTTCGCTTTGGTTCAATCCTTAGATCGGCTTCTTACTATCATGTCAATTGTTTGGTTGTTATATAATGCTGAATCCTTCAGTATAGCATTTTCTTGGGCATGCAAACGCGAGTTTTTGAATTCTCATGAGTTAATTGCTTTATTTGTGCATAGTCACAGCGGTTGTGTGCTTGGAAGGATATAGGAGAGATTTCTCGAAACAGTTTTCATATATCTCCATATTGCTTTAAAGTGACATTAGAATCGTTTGACGGAGGATAAACCAGGTCTTAGCGCCTCCATATATTTGAGTTATTCGACACCAGAAGCTGCTCTCTTTTGAAGGAGTTCCACTTAAATGGGCTTAAGAATCGCTAGTCACAATCGCGAAGATAAAGTATTGCCACTGCTTGCTATTTTGGCTGGTCTCGCGATGACGAGGATAGCTGCTGATTTCAGAAACTTCATACTTGATTCAAATATTCGGTAACTAATTCCACTTCTGATTCTTATCCGGTTTAGGCTCGAAAAGCTATGCTAGGCATGCAGAAGGCAAAAACTGCTGGAGACAAGCTGAAGATAGGCAAGTACATCCTTAAAGTCATTTTGGTTGTTCGTGATAATAGTTTACATTTGAAGGAGCGGATATTGTGCGGAACATGTTTGCACCCGAATTACCAGCTGTGGCTGAATTTTCCACTGGCGAAACGATGGGACACAGCGGTGATCGGCTTGCGGCTGCCTTCAATGTTTCAAGGAAGTTAGTTACCATTTTGGATGATTTTTCTCTCTTTCACATCTTCTAACCTTTTCATTTCTAACCTTTCAAGAGAGCAGGATGAGTTCGCCCTCCGATCGCACAAGCTAGCGAAGGCGGCAGCAGATGCAGGAAAATTGAAAGATATTATCCCTGTGTTTTTGGATGGAAAGAAGCCGCAAACAGTGAAAGTTAGTGAATATGTGTTCTTATCGACTGTAACAAGATGGATTGTTTTAATTATTTGACTTTGACCTTTGTTTTGAAAAGTCAGCTGCACTGTTTTCTGGTTTTATTTCCTTTTTTGTTACTATGAGTTCTTGTTAGGCTGATAATGGTGTTCGTGTATCTACTCCTGAAAAGATGGCAACACTGAAGCCTGCGTTCGTGAAGCCTCATGGAACCGTTACTGCTGGTCTGTCACAGTACTTTCTAATTCCTTGTAAAACTGTAAAACTGGCATTCGCCGTGGTTATATTATCTTTAGTGTAGGCTCCCCCACTTTCTTCACGATTTGGGGCGCGGCCGCGGCGAGCGCGGCCGAGTCGATAGTGCCCGCGAACTGTGTGGGTAAATTTGAAAACGCATCACACCACAGTTCGCGGGCACT